TTGTAAATCTAAGTTGGTTTTCCCTGTGGACCAAGGGAATAATTGTTTATTTCCTCGATTTGGTCGGACTATAAACACGCATATTAGGGTTGATACCCTCCAGGAATTGTCGGCTCATTTTGCGTGGTCGAAACGATTCGCCGAAATTCTACTTTCCGTGTTTCCAACATCTCATATGTCATTCCCACAGCGTCTAATAATTTTTCGGCAAGGCAAACCGGCATCAAACAGGTGGAGGGCTACGTCCACGCACGCGTCGCAACGGTTCATAATAATATCCAGTCCACGCGATGTTTGGAGTCGAGTGTCCGCAAGTCTTTATCATCCTCACACCCTCTCTTGGGTGATCACACTCTGCAAAATGGCTGGCAAGGCCCCCTTCCCAACGAGAGCGGCTTCGATGCACGGGTGTAGGAAAAGCAGTACGAGCCAACGCCTCTATCACAAGTGCCTCGTCGTCTCGCTTCTGTGCCTCGTTGCTTCTTCGGTATGCATCGCGTGTCGGCTTGCGTACCTCGACGACACTCTAAGTGCCGAGGCGATGCACGCTGCAGACGACCTCTTCGGGGATGTGGTCCACCTCAACAACCTCAACGAAGCCTGCTTCCATGCCAGCGACAGCATCGTTCACTGGTCGTACAACAGCACCGAGGTCGACCTCGCCCAGCTCTGGTCCCGCGACGAGACGCCACAAAACGTGCTCATTGCGCACCTCGCGCAGTGTCCCGAGGTCGATATTTTTCTCCCGCAAGGTATTCGAAACCACGGGTACTGCGAAGACGGTATGGCGTACGTCAAGTTTCTCAAGACACGTGCGCTGCCCATTTGGGTCTTTGATTTGCACTTCGACTACCAAGGTCGAATCTCAATCTCAACTAGGATCTGACATTGCACTTTGATTTGTAGGCCGAAAAACATCAGCTATTTCGACTTGTGCCCGAACACGGCGCTGCTCTTTATGAACCACTACACCGAAGGCCTCATGGACCGCGACGACTTTCCATCGGTACATGCAACTTGGCGCGAAAAGTGGTCTCACAATCATCATCCTAGGACAAGGTGGTTGTCAACATGCCCAACGTTGAAATGTACGAGCTCAAGGACAAGGACTACCACCGCTTCGACGTCGTCCTCTGCAAGACGCGCGACGGCTACGACCGCCTCTCACAGTGGTATTAGCTCCTTCCCTCGCTCTGCCATAAAGTCCAAATCTAGGTACAAGGACTTTGGAAACCCGCGCAACACGACACTGCTCTACGTCCAGCACACGTCGTCCGACCCGTCGACGGTGGCCATTACGCATGCGATGGCGCACCCGGAGCTGCCGCCGATCCAGCCCAAGAACTTTGACCAGCTCACGTTCTTTCATGCCAACGGACGCAGCTGGCACAAGAGCACGCGCGCAGTGCTCGAGTGCTGGCAGCAGCGACCTAATTTTCCGCGTATCGATATCTACTCGATGAATAGCGGCACGCTCCGCGACTACAACGAGCTCTTTCTGCCACGCGGCGCGCCGTCCAACCTGCGATTCCATTATGGCGAAGAAGTCGACGTCGCCCAATTTGGCCGCCAGCTACTGGAAGCGAGTGTCATCGTCTGCCCGAGCAAGATGGAAGGCTTTGGCCACTACATCAACCAAGCACGCGCGTCCGGCTCGCTTGTCCTGACGACGGACGGGGCGCCCATGAACGAATTCATCGACGACGACTCGGGCGTGCTCATCAACGCCACCCAGAAGGACCCTAGCCCGTATGTTGTATGTTTGAGATTTTTCCACCGTCAAATATTTTTGTAGGAACCAAATCTTGAGCGTGTATGGTGGCATGGAGTGGGGCGTGACGGCCGATGCCATTTGCGACGCCGTCGATCGAGTGCTAGCCCTACCCCTGCTTGAGCGAGAACGACGAGCTGCGAAGGGGCGCGAGCGGTACGAGGCGCAGCTTTTCGAGTTCAAACACGCCATGCGCCACGTTCGTGTCGGACTGCCGGATGTGATTACCAAGCCATAAACGAATATCGATGCTCGCTGGGCAACCTTTTTGTCAGATACAATGTCGGTGGCAATTTTCACTCTAAAGCAGTATCGCCCATGCTACTCTCTACAACCTCTACTACTGATGATGCGGCAATCGCGTCGTGAAGCACGCCAAGCCTACCTATTTCGAGGCATTATCGACTGTCCTTTATGTGGTAGCCCTCTCTCTACCTCGGCTGTAGCCCTCCAGACGCCCCAGAAACCACCCAGAAATTGTCCAATTCCTTATCTTCTTGTTGCATCTGGTCGTGATACCACCATCGTTCGTACACATCAATGTACTATTAGGGACCAGATGCTGAGCACGTACGGCGCCATGAAGTGGACTGTATCGTGGAAGTCGATCTGCGATGCGCGCGCCGTCAACCGCCGCCAGCGCTACGAGCAGCAGCTGGCCGCGTTCAAGGAGAACATGCAGCGTGTCCGAGCCCTCTTCCATTTCCGAGAGCTCGTGTAAGACGATTGCTGTAGCGTCAATATTGAGTGTACTATGCTGGACCCTGCCCCGCATCCACGTCCAGAGAGGCAGCATGGCAATACGATACACTCCCAATACGTGCTATTTCGACCCTTGTCTGATGTGTATGTCACTGGTACTGTATTGACACACTGGAGCCTTTGTTATCTCATATCTCCTGCTGCGGCTTCTTGGCAAGAAGAGCGCGCACGTCATGCATGTTGTCTCGAAACTCGATGAGCTGCTTCTCGTAGCGTTGCCGCCCGTTCTGTGCGCGCCGCTGGCGCTCGGACGGCGCGAGATGCAGGACGTTGTCGACAGCGTCGCAGATCGAATGCCACGAGACGTGCCACTCCATGCCGCCGTAAGCACTCAAGAGCTGGTCCCTACACTGTGATGAGATGATGCGCCTCGATAGATCGTCATTATATACCGGTTGGGACCTTGTTGACGCCTCGACAAGCACGCCTGAGTCGTTGTCGATGAATTCGTTCATGGGCGGCGCATTCGTCGTCAAGACGAGCGAGCCGGACGCTCTAGCTTGGTTGATGTAGTGGCCAAAGCCTTCCATGCGACTCGGGCACAAGATCGCACTCGTTTCGAGGAGCTGGCGGCCAAACTGGGCGACGTCGACTTCCTCGCCGTGGTGAAACTGGAGATTCGATGGCGCGCCGTCGTCACCAAAGATCTGGTGAAATGCTCGAGAGTCCACGAGTTTCCTGAGTAGACGTGAATAAGTGGGAAATCAGGTCGCTGCTGCCAGCACTCGAGCACCGCGCGTGTGCTCTTGAACCAGCTGTGGCCGTTGGCGTGAAAGAACGTGAGATTCTCAAAGTTCTTGGGCTGGATCGGTGGCAGCTCCGGGTGCGCCATCGCATGCGTAATGGCCACCGTCGACGGGTCGGACGACGTGTGCTGGACGTAGAGCAGCTTTGTGTTGCGCGGGTTTCCGTTGTCCTTGTACCTGCCAGTAGTACCACGTGAGATAATCTCCCATACGAGGCGGGGCCGACGATACCAGCGCGAGAGGCGGTCGTAGCCGTCGCGCGTCTTGCAGAGGACGACGTCGAAGCGATGGTAGTCTTTGCCCTTGAGCTCGTACATTTCAACGTTGGGCATGTTGACAACCACCTTGTCCTAGGATGATAGTTGTGAGACCACTTTTCGCGCCCAGAAACAAGTTACCGATGGAAAGTCGTCGCGGTCCATGAGGCCTTCGGTGTAGTGGTTCATAAAGAGCAGCGCCGTGTTCGGGCACAAGTCAAAATAGTTGATGTTTTTCCGGCCTACAAATCCAAGTCAATCCTAGCTGAGATTGAGAGTGAGATTCAACCTTGGTAGTCGAAGCGCAAATCAAAGACCCAGAGCGGCAGCGCACGTGTCTTGAGAAACTTGACGTACGCCATACCGTCTTCGCAGTACCCGTGGTCGCGCAGGCCGGCGGGGAGGAAGACATCGACCTCGGGACACTGCGCGAGGTGCGCAATGAGCTCGTTTCGTGGCGTCTCGTCGCGGGTCCAGAGCTGGGCGAGGTCGACCTCAGTGCTGTTGTACGACCAGTGAACGATGCTGTCGTTGGCATGGAAGCAGGCTTCATTGAGGTTGTTGAGGTGCACCACGTTGCCAAAGAGGTCGTAAGGTGGGGTCGCCGTTGTTGCGTTATTGCCCGTGGTCGTGTGGAGTACGGGGCTCGAACTGGGCAGACGCGTGACGTCAACCGGACCCGTCGCGTGGAGCTCGAGGGTCGCATTGGGCAGACGCGTGACGTCATCAGCCCCAGTCGCAGTGGCGTTTCCGTGGCCGCTCGACTCGTTGTGGCGCCGAAGATGCGCCAAGTCTTGGCCCTTGGCGCCAGAAAGCCACGGCAGGTCGACCATCTCCCACGTAAAGACGCTGTACGCAGCCACGATGAGACAGAGGAGCGCGAGGAGGACAAAGTGGAAGCGGCGCGGGCGCTGCGCCTAGTGGTCGAGCATGACGGGACGTGGGAGGGAGCATGGTAGGTACCATCGTGTCGTCTCACTACGATCTGAGTTGTATATTTGGACGTGGTAAATGTGGTTTTGGAGGTGTTTTCCGCACCGAAATAGTGTTTCCCAGCAAACAACCAAGCCCTTCGCCCCTGCAACGCCACCAGACGACGACCTTATAATAGCACTCTTTACCAGACCGATCCGACTACATTTAGAACCCCTCCTACCCTCTCGAACCACCTCCCTGCGTTGGCACATCAGCCCAACAACCTTACACTATTTAGGCACACGTCCAAATCTACACGTCTATTTGTAATCGGGTGCTGTCAATCGTGACCGTCGCACGGTTGCGTGTTCTTATCCACTCGGACGACAAACGTTGTCTTAATGAGCGAGCGTCCAGTGACGTCGCCACCGCGCAGGCTGGGGTGACGCAATATCGCTGCTCCTGTGCACGGCGTTGGCGGGAAAAAGCATCGCGTTATCGCTGCATATCATTATCACACTATATTTCCCTTGGTTGGAGTACGGACTGCACGGGTTGCTCTCAGTGGGTTGCTCTCCCACGCATACATCGAGTATCCTCGGAGATGACTCAATTTGTGTCTCCCGGTATCCGGATACTAGGGTACTAATACGGCTAGCCACCACGACAACAATGACGCAAGTGGCAACGTATGGTGTCTTGCTCACACTCAAAGAAGATAAGACTCGCACGGTAAAGGTCGTGTCGATATTGGCTTGCACGTGCCACTCCACAGTCCCGACTGGACTGAGTAGTAAACAAGCACACCGGTGAGGAACTGTACGTGGTGCTATCGGTTCAGAGGGCGACAGGTTTTTTGCTTGGTGAAGCAACTGCCAACAGACGACGCATGTAGGACGAGGAGAACTTAGACGTCAAAGACGGCGCGCACGTGGCGCATGTTCTCCTTGAACGCGACCAGCTGCGCTTCGTAGCGCCGGCGTCCGTTCTCGGCGCGACGCTGCCGCTCGGAGGGCGTAAGCGCCAGCACGGTATCGACTGCGTCGCAGACACCGTCGGGCGTCACGTCCCACTCCATGCCCCCGTAGATGCTCAAGAGCTGGTTCCTACAAGCACGAATCAAGACGCGTTCGGGATGCGAGAGCTACCTACGAGTTGGGCTCTAGGCGATGCGCATTGATGAGGACGCCAGAGTCATCATCGACAAACTCGTTCATGGGCGCCCCGTCCGTCGTCAAGACAAGCGCGCCGGACGCGCGTGCTTGGTTGATGTAGTGGCCGTAGCCTTCCATCTTGCTCGGGCACAAGATGACGCTGGCTTGAACGAGTTCGCGGCCAAACTGAGACGCGTCGATGGCCTTGCCGTGATGGAATCGCACGTTGGGCGGCGCGCCATCCGGGCCGAAAATCTCCTCAAAGTCCTCTTGCGTCTTGGTGCTGAGCGTATAGACGTCAATGGTTGGCAGGTCCGGTCGGCGTTGCCAGCACTTGAGCACGGACGGCGTGCTTTTTTGCCAACTGTTGCCGTTGGCGTGGAAGAACGTGATGTTGTCAAAGTCCTTGGGCTTGATCGGTGGCAGCTCGGGGTGTGATAGCGCATGCAGGTGCGCGGCCGTCGACGGGTCGGACGACGTGTGCTGGACGTAGAGCAGTGTCGTGTTGCGCGGGTTTCCAAAGTCCTTGTACCTAGATTTGGACTTTATAGCAGAGCGAGGGAAGGAGCTAATACCATTGCGAGAGGCGGTCGTAGCCGTCGCGCGTCTTGCAGAGGACGACGTCGAAGCGGTGGTAGTCCTTGTCCTTGAGCTCGTACATTTCCACGTTGGGCATGTTGACAATCACCTTGTCCTAAGAAGCCAGATCTTATGGTCGGTGCTATACATGGACAACTAGAGACCTTCGGAAAGTCCGGGCGGCTAGGGACGCCATCCATGTAGTGGTTCATAAAGAGCAGCGCCGTGTTCGGGCACAAGTCGAAATAGCTGATGTTTGTTCGGCCTACACATCAAAGTGCAATGTCAGATCCTAGTTGAGATTGAGATTCGACCTTGGTAGTCGAAGCGCAAATCAAAGACCCAAATGGGCAGCGCGCGCGTCTTGAGAAACTTGACGTACGCCATGCCATCTTCGCAGTACCCGTGGCCGCGCAAGCCCGTGGGAAGGAAGATGTCAACGCCCGGGCAGTGTGCGAGGTGCGCAATGAGCTCGTCCCGCGGCGTCGTGTCGCGGGACCAGACGTGGTGGAGGTCGACGTCCGAGCTGTTGTACGTCCACGGA